GTTTGTATGTCAGCCAGCAGGGGAGAGGGGGGGTGATAAACCAGGTATCAATTGAGCGGTTCTATAGACGAGGGAGGGACCTAATTACCCAGGAATGTCAGCGGAGGATGTCCACGAGAACCTGACCAACACGTTAAGGGAGAGGTAACTGAGGACCTCTACATTAACACAACTGTACTACTGATGTTGAAGACCTTGAGAGAACCTGTACCCTTGAGGGGGGGGGAGAGGGGGAGGTGGAGGAAGAACAAATATCACAATAATTAGCATCACATAAGGGCATCTAACTTATAAGAGGTTAAATACCATGTTAAAGGATGTACTGTAACAAGGGGGTAAGGACCATGTTGAAGGATGCACTGTAACAAGAGGGTAAACATTACGTGGACAATATTTGATCATGGTGGCCGAGAACTGATCATCAAACATAAATCATGATCAAAACTAACCCAGAAGGTGAACAACATTAATGCCAATTGACTGGGATAAATGAGGCGTATTTAATTAATCCAAGTAAATTGACACACCTGTGCTTAGAGGTAGACTTGACGAAGAGAATTGTCACATGTGGAGCCAGACCGAAGCGGTGATTACCAGACTAGTATGTTGATTTGGGTGAGAGAGAGAGAGAGAGAGAGAGAGTGTAGACTGACAGGTGTATTATATCAGTATCGGGGGAAAATTTATACCACACGTGACCAACCTGACGAAGGGAACATAGAGGTGAGTATGTATGAGTCTTCACTTAGGGGCGGCGGAGGAGGTGGTCAGGTCTTTTATCATTTTTTTTGTCTGACACGATAATTTGACCTTGGATGACTAACACGAGTATAGCGTCATATTCGTCACAGGAAGGAAGAGATAACACAGCGAGATATGCCTTCAGTGGTGCCAGGACACTGTGGTTATGAGACTGAGACGTTCCTAAAGGTCATGTGGGTCCGAATATCACCCTTGTTATATTGGGGACTTTAACACACGCAGATAAAGACCCATTACTACCTTGACCCATAACTATGCTGTAGGTGGACAGGTGCAGGCTGGTGGTGTCGTATTAGAGGATGGCATCGCTCCTCCTCCAGAAGTATACTGTAGGAGCTCACGGCGGTCTCTCTCTCTCTCTCTCTCTCTCTCTCGGGGCAAGAGATGAGTAGTGGGTGTTTATGGTGACGGAGGCGCGGCAGGGGTGGAACACGGGGGAGTAAGGAAGTATCCTGACAGTGGTGAGTCAACTAGGTCACTACAGTGAGGTTTAGCCTTACGTGGTCTGTGACGCATGATGTGTACACGGAGTAGTAGAGAGGGTGTGGTGTGGTGTAGGGTGTGGTGTAGGGTGTGGTGTGGTGTGTGGGTGGTGTAGTGTGATGTGGTGTAGTGTGGTGTGGTGTGGTGTGTGGGTGGTGTAGTGTGTGGTGTGGTGTAGGGTGTGGTGTGTGGGTGGTGTGGTGTAGGGTGTGGTGTAGTGTGTGGTGTGGTGTAGTGTGTGGTGTGATGTGATGTGGTGTAGTGTGTGGTGTGGTTGGCCTCCTACTTACTGTATCTGTATATATTAGTTTTATTAAGTTTAGTACGGTATTTTTATCCGGTACTTTGAGACAATTTTTCTGTGACTTATTTCCCATGACTTCATCCATGACTTTATTCCTCTAACCTTTTTTTCCTTGATTGGAATTTTCCCAACACATATATACCCAAGTTATATCACCATGCTGTTCATTTTTATCATTATTATTATTATTATTATTATTATTAGTAGTAGTAGTAGCAGTGGTGGTATTATTATTATTGTTGTCGTCGTCATCTTCACTACAACTATCAGTGATGTAGTAAATGGGAGCAGAAGTTAGTTTGGCTGAGTGCATGTTATCAACTCTCATGGTGCTAGTGTAACCCTCTCCCCCCTTAACCCCCTCTCACCCTTTAACCCTCTCCCCCCTTAACCCCCTCTCACCCTTTAACCCCTCCCCCCTTTACCCCCACCAAGTAGTATAATGCCTCAGGGAGTATAATTATAAGCCCGGATTTAATATGCTTTACCAAGGGCGTATGATTGAATTTATTTATGATAGGCACACACACACACACACACACACATACACACACACACGATGGTTGCAGTGTGGTATTTGGTAAAGATAACAACTGTACCGGTTGTTTTGTTATATCGTCTACGAACAAGTATATAACGTAACAACAAACATTATTTTTTGTTCTTGTTCCATAAATGTTGAAGCGTGACGGACCAGTGTTTTTTTTTTAATATCATTCAATCTTGGTGTGATTGAAGTCAAGCTTGGCTAGATCCTCCCCCCCCCCCACACACTTGGCTATCTTGCGGTGGACCTAGCCTTGTGTGTGTGTGTGTGTGTGTGTGTGTGTGTCTGTCTGTCTTCTACCCCCGTCTCCACGCCTCCCCTCCCCACACTCGACAGGTAAAGCCAGTTAATTTGATCACACTAGGTATAGAATCACGAGGAGAGAAGAGGGGCAAGTTTTTATTCCCTCGTTGCTTGCTTGCTTGACCGCGTTACTGTCGTGTAGTGCGAGAGAAGAACCTGTAACCTGCCTCCCTGTAACCTGCTTGCTTGTAACCTGCTTGGATGGATGGGAACGGTAGGGAACTCAGGGTCAGTAGGTCGAGTGTGATAACTGATAACTAAAACTCGCTTACCAACTTGTATTTAGTTTTGTTTATTCTTATTATTTTTAAATTTTGTTTCTTCTATTTTTCGTTTTTTTCTTCTTCCTCTTTAATTTCTTGACTATTCTTTGTTTTCTTCTTACTTATTATTTTTTCTTATTCTTTCTTCGTCGTCTCTCCTCCTTTCCTCCTCTTCTCCTCTCCTCTTTTCCTCCTCTTCTCCTCTCCTCTTTTCCTCCTCTTCTCCTTTCCTCTTCTTCATTCTTCCTCTTCTTCTTATCTTTCTTTCCCTCGCCGTTTTAATCTAATCTCCCGTTTTAAGTGACGATTTCTTCCCCAAACGTTAAGACATAGACGTCACCTGGCGGATCCAAAACGTTCGTGACCAGAACGTTTTTGGCGGTCCCGTTGGCGTTTTCGGGAGTGGGGTGGGTGGGGTGGGGTGGGGGTGGGTTACGTAGCCTAGTTATGTTGATGATAGTAGTGTAGGCGGAAGTGTGGAGGAAGGGTGGGGGTGGGTGGGTGGGTGGGTGGGTGGGTGGGTGAGTGGGTGGAGTGAGGACGTTTTCTGCTTCGCCCACGAGTCCCGTACGTTGAAGGTGGTGTGGGTGGGGGGTGAGGAGGGTCGGTTTTGAGGTGGAGAGGGGGATACCGTCATGGCGTTATATTCACAGCAGTTTGGAGTTGGACACGTGAATATTACTCGTAAGTGCTGAGGCTTCCGTATCGATGCACGCAATATAGTTAACGGTAAATGCACGCAATATACTGTAACGGTAGTACACACAATATTGTTTTTTCTTACAGTAATGCACGCAATATTGTTTTTTCTTAGTAATGCACGCAATATTGGTTTTTGACTAATGCACGCAATATGGTGGATTTTAAACTAGAGCGTTTGAACAACTCTCCCACGCGAGGCTATAACTACGCCATCTGTCGCTTATAACCACAAACTACATCCACGAACCAAAAAACAGAAGCGCATCAAATATAAACTTACTTCAGCTCAAAGTTAAACAGTTAGGTGCAGTTTTATCAATATAATTTACCAAGATTATTCATTTTATCCGTACTTGTGAGAATTTTGGCGGTTGGGGGTTCGCGGTCAGCGGTTTCGTGTTTATACCATCCCGCGTTTACCGTTCCGGACCGCAATTTTTATTTTTTATTTTTAATATTTTTTATTTTATTTTTAGAATTCATAAGGCGAGGTGAATGTGCTTTAGTTCAACACCTGTTATGTTCATTTGTCTTTTATTTTATTGGACATTGTATTTTTAGCGATTTTTTTTATAAATGCTTTTCTTAGTGTAATGAAATGTTATTATTTTAGTGAAGCATTCGTATTTTTATAAACACCTGTTATTTTAGTGAACAATTATTATTATATTGAACAATTTATTTTAGTGAACACCTGTCAATTTACTAAGCACCTGTCAATACAATATAGTCCCTACCTGTCAATACACTGTAGTGGATGACTATAGTGTAATATATGAGTGGTGAATGGCTGTAGGATATCGATTGAGTAATGGTGCGCGTGTGTCGTTAGCCTTACACAACCACATATCCAAACTGTAGGTAGCATGTCAGTAGCATTTATGGGGGGGCTATTTACTGGTGTCTGTCTGTGGTATGTAGTAGGTGGAAGGAACTGCTGGTGAGACTATAATAAGTGGTTGCTGCATCTTTCCTTACTGTTATGAGAGAGGGGGGGTGAGTGAGAGAGGAAGAGAGACAATAAGAGACAGATAAGAAAGACAGACAGAAAGAGAGAGAGAGAGGGAGGTGGGTTTTGGATATGCAGGGAGGGGCAAGTTATCGTACTCAAGGGGTTAAATCATCGTACTCAAGGTGTTGGAGTACGTTAGAGTCCTGTGTTATATACTGTATTGGTGTCGGGATTAACAAAGGCGAGGGGCGGTACCTCAGTGGCTGGTGTTAAGTGATGGTGGTGGTCAGTGGGTGGCGGTAAGTGGGGGTGGTGGGCGGTATGTGGCACTGGTGGGCGGTGGGTGGCACTGGTGGGGGATGGTGGGTGGCGTTTGTGGACCGTGGGGGCGTTGGTGGGCGGTATGTGGCACTAGTGGTGGTGGTGGGCTTGTATAACAAGCGGAATGCCGGCTTGTCGGTGGGTTGATGTATTTCTCTCTCTCTCTTTAAACCCTGACAGGTGTGTGCGCGCGTGTGTGTGTTATGAGGCAGGTGTGGACGTGACAGGTGTGTGGGTGGGGTGACAGGTGTGTGTAGGTGAGTAGGCGTGACAGGTGTATTGAGTGGGTGTGACAGGTGTGTGGGTTAGGACTAGGAAATAATTAGCTACCTGTGACATGAAGTGAAATCTGTTTTTTTACAGGTAACTTCAATTAACCTGTGACGAGACTTACGAGAGACAGGCGTACACACAGCCTATTTGACAGGTGAGAGAGAGAGAGAGAGACCATCTTGACACGTCTAAAATTTTAAGGATGGTCTGAGTTGAAACTGTAGGCAACGTCAGTCCCCTGTTGTGTCTGTCTGCCTCTGTGTGTGTGTCTAGTCTGTCTGTCTGTCTGCCTCTGTGTGTGTGTCTGTCTGTCTGTCTGTCTGCCTCTGTGTGTGTGTCTAGTCTGTCTGCCTCTGTGTGTGTGTCTAGTCTGTCTGTCTGTCTGCCTCTGTGTGTGTGTCTCTAGTCTGTCTGCCTCTGTGTGTGTGTCTAGTCTGTCTGTCTGTCTGTCTCTGTGTGTGTGTGTCTGTCTGTCTAGTCTGTCTGCCTCTGTGTGTGTGTCTAGTCTGTCTGCCTCTGTGTGTGTGTCTCTGTCTGTCTGTCTGCCTCCTGTCTGTGTGTGTGTGTCTGTCTGTCTGTCTGTCTGTCTGTGTGTGTCTAGTCTGTCTGCCTCTGTGTGTGTGTCTAGTCTGTCTGTCCGTCTTCATAAGGTTAAAGTTCGAGGTCAAACATATGAAGACGAGAGGCTCTCTGGGATGGATTCTAAATATGACAGAGGAATTTTAACTATTTTCTAGTGTGTGTGTGTGTGTGTGTGTGTGTGTGTGTGTGTGTGTGTGTGTGTGTGTGTGTGTGTGTGTGTGTGTCCCTTTACGTATTAACACTGCTGTCATGTTACTACCACGGCCAGCCACACCCCACCACTACCACGTGCATACCACATCCTGTTGCTACCGCCTTCCAGCCTACCACACCCCACCACCACTACACCTACCAACACCACCACCACACACCACCACCACACACACACACCACCACCACCACCCACACCACACCACCACCACACCCACCACACCTACCACCACCACACCCCCACACCCCACCACCACCACACCCACCACACCCCACCACCACACCCACCCACCACACCACCACCACACCACCACCACCACACCCACCACCACCACCACCACCACCACCACCACCACCACCACACCACCACCCACCACACACCACACTGCCACCCACACCACCACCACACCACACACACCCCACCACCACCACACCACCACACCACCACACCACCACCCACCACCACCACACCACCACACCACACACCACCACCCACCCACCACCACCACACCTACCACACCCACCCACCACCACCACCACCACACCACCACCACCACACCCACCACCACACCACTACACCTACCACACCCCACCACACCGACCACATTAAGGGTGTGGTAGGTGTCACACTGTATCTACCCAATCGAAATTGTATCACAGTCGATTGTATCTAAAGTAACCTTGATATAGTACACGATTTGATCACCTCTTACAAGGGACACAAAGAGAGAGAGAGACCCCAGTAGAAGAGATACACACAGGAGAGAAAGGTCAAAGGTCACTTCTTGGCATACTTGACATCCCAGCAACAGTGCCCCGCGTTCAGTCTAGTGGGGTGCGGTGGGCGAGTGGATAATAGTACTCGTCTTTTGGTCTTAGGGTTGTTGGTTCGATCCCTTGGTATTCTTAGTTCACCCAGACGTAAATTGGCCAGTTTAGATTAGTTTGGGTTAGGTTAGTTTGGGTAGGGTTGGGTTAGGCTAGGTTGGAATCAGGTTAGTTTAGACTAGGTTAATTTAGTTTAGGTTAAGTTAATTTTGAGTAGTTTTAGGTCAGGTTATGGCATTTAGTTTAGAACAGGTCAGGCCAGGTAAGGTCAGGTCAGGTCAGGTCAAGCATTATGATAGCCCCAGAAAGGTCAAATAGCCAAGGTCATAAATTCCAACTACTAAGCAGGGTCATTTGGGAAGTGACTCGAGTGTAGTGTGGGCGGTGATAACACATAACTAGGCACTCATCTTGGCACCCCACTCCTGGTACCCCTCTTCCCCCCACTCGTCCTGCGTCTTGACCTTGGTGGAGTGGGGTTAGGGGGTGGTTAAGAGGGGTAGGAGGGAGAGAAGGGGTGACAGAGTTGAGTGGGTGGATAAGATAGTGGAGTGGGACGGTGAGAGGGATGGTAAGGGAAGGAGAGAGAGTGGGGTGGAGTGAGAGGGGTTGGAGGATCAGATAATGGAATGGGGGGAGGGTAAGGTAGAGAGGGGTTGGGGGATAAGTGAGAGGCTGAGGGTGGGAAGGAGAGTGGAGTGGGAGGGTAAGAGGGGAGAGAGGGGGATGAGAGGGGGAGAGTATTGAGAGAGAGAGAGGGAGGTTGTTATACCAAAGAACAATATTATACATAGTTGAACATTATACATAGTTATATACATAGATGAAGAACAGCCAGTATACATAGTCATATACACAGGAGAACAGCCAGTATACATAGTCATATACACAGGAGAACAGCCAGTATACATAGTCATATACACAGGAGAACAGCCAGTATACATAGTCATATACACAGGAGAACAGCCAGTATACATAGTCATATACACAGGAGAACAGCCAGTATACATAGTCATATACACAGGAGAACAGCCAGTATACATAGTCATATACACAGGAGAACAGCCAGTATACATAGTTATATACACAGGAGAACAGCCAGTATACATAGTCATATACACAGGAGAACAGCCAGTATACATAGTCATATACACAGGAGAACAGCCAGTATACATAGTTATATACACAGGAGAACAGCCAGTATACATAGTCATATACACAGGAGAACAGCCAGTATACATAGTCATTTACACAGAACAGCCAGTATACATAGTCATATACACAGGAGAACAGCCATTATACATAGTCATATACACAGGAGAACAGCCAGTATACATAGTTATATATAGATGAAGAACAGGTTGAAACAAGGCCATTGAAGAGGTCTGCCGCTACCACACCTAACAGGGCACTTCCGGGTACTGTGTGGGGCACCTTCCTGTACTGTACCCTTTCACTTGTACTCTTGACTTAGTGCTCTCTGTAACCCTTCACCTGCACTCTCTGTAACTCTTTACCTGTACTCTTCATCTGTACTCTTGACTTGTACTCTCTGTAATTTTACTTATACTCGTGACCTGCACTCTTGACCTGTACCTGTCACTTGTACTCTTGACCTGTACTCTACCCATCACCTGTACTCTGTCTCTACCTATCACTTTTACTCACTGTAACATATCACCTGTACTCATAACCTGTACTCTTTCGCTTTACCAATCAACTGTACTCAAACTACCTATGATCTGTTATTGTTTCGATGTTGTTATACCGGTGTAATTAATGGTGTTATTTGGTTATGTCAGTAGGGGGGTAGCGAGACGAGATCATGTAGGATATCGTTAAACTGAGATATCGTTAAACTGAAATATTGTTAGACTGAGATATCGTTAGACTGAGATATCGTTAAACTGAGATATCGTTAGACTGAGATATCGTTAAACTGAGATATCGTTAAACTGAGATATCGTTAAACTGAGATATCGTTAGTGTGTTATAGCTCTTCGTTTGTTATTGTTTTTGTTCGTGTGTTTTTTTATTATCGTTTTTGTTGTTGTTTTTATTATTGTTGTGATTGTTTGTTTTGTTTTTTTTTGCCTATTTACGGGCCAGTGATGCCTCGGGGAACCCATACAGAGGGCATGAGGTGGGCAGACAAGACCACTCAGAGGGCATGAGGCAGACAAGACCACACCTGAGGGCATGAGGTGGCAGACAAGGCCACTCAGGAGGGCAGCGAGGTGGCAGACAAGGCCACCAGAGGCATGGGAGGTAAGCAGACAAGGCCACCCAGAGTGGGCATGAGGTGGCAGACAAGGCCACCAGGAGGCATGAGGTGGCAGACAAGACCACCAGAGGGCATGAGGTGCAGACAAGGCCACTCAGAGGGCATGAGGTAAAGACAAGGCCACTCAGAGGGCATGAGGTGGTGACAAGGCCACTCAGGAGGGCATGAGGTGGCAGACAAGGCCACTCAGAGGGCATGAGGTGGCAGACAAGGCCACTCAGAGGGCGTGAGGTGGCAGACAAGGCCACCTAGAGGGCATGAGGTGGCAGACAAGGCTACTCAGAGGGCGGAGGTGGCAGACAAGGCCACTCAGGAGGCATGAGGTGGCAGACAAGGCCACTCAGAGGGCGTGAGGTGGCAGACAAGGCCACTCAGAGGGCGTGAGATGGTAGACAAGGCCACTCAGAGGGCATGAGGTGTCAGACAAGGCCACTCAGAGGGCATGAGGTGTCAGACAAGGCCACTCAGAGGGCGTGAGATGGTCAGACAAGGCCACTCAGAGAGCATCAGGTGTGTCGTGTTGGCATGAGTTAATTATGCCCTCTGAGTGGTACAAGACCACTTAGCAGGTATATTCCGACTTGAACAGGTGTGCAGGTAAATGAAAGGTCATGCAGGTAAGAAAGGCATCTGCTACCACAACTACCACACCTACGACCACACGTACCACCATTACCACACGTACCACCACTACCACACAGCGTCCTCAAGGGGTTAAAATTATTTGTATCACATTTCCTCTTTTAGTGAAGTTAACGTACGTACGTACGTACGTGTGTGTGTGTATGTGTACATAGGTCAGGGTCTTGTCTATAGTGAAGGTGTCATATGGGAAGGGGGGTGATAGTGTATTGTCAGGCTAGTTATGGTGATGTGATGGTGAGAATGGTAGTGAGTGTCCTTGGTAGTGTTGATGTTGACAATGATTGGTGATGAAGCGTGATGGAAGAGAGAGAGAGAGAGAGAGAGAGAGAGAGAGAGAGAGACCTTCCCTCCCTCCCGCCCTCCCTCCACGACTATTGGTAATAACCCCTATAATATCACGGCCAACAAGCCTTAATGTCCCTCCCTTCCTTCCATTACACCTTCCCCATCGTCGCCCTCCTCCCACCCTCACCTCCCTCCCTCCCTCCCTCCTCCCTCCCTCCCTCCCTTCCTCCCTCACCTTCCTCCTCCCTCCTCCTTCCTTCCTTCTCCCCTCACACCCTCCCTCCCTTCCTCCCACCCTTCCTCCCCCTCACCTCCCTTCTCTCCCTCCCACCCTCCCTCCCTCCCTTCCTCCCACCCTCACCTCCCTCCCTCCCTCCCACCCTCACCTCCCCCCCTCCATCGTCCTCCCTCCTTCCTGCTCTTGCCTCTATTACATCTTCCCTCCCTGTCCCATTTAAAGTCCCTTACCCTACCCTCCCCATACTGTCATCTACTCTCCATTCACCAATACGTATTTCCTCCTCCCTCTCCCCTCTCCACCTCCCTCTCCACTCTCACCCTCCACACTCCTCCCTCTCACCCCTTCCACACTCCTCCCTCTCACCCTCCACCTCCCTCCCTCTCCCTCCTCCACCCTCCACCCTCCCTCCCTCTCACCCTCCACACCTCCCTCCCTCTCACCCTCCACCCTCCCTCCTCCCTCCTCACCCCTCCACCTCCCTCCCTCCTCACCCTCCACTCCCTCCCTCTCACCCTCCACCCTCCCTCTCCCTCCCTCCCTCTCCCCTCCACACTCCCTCCCTCTCACCCTCCACACTCCCTCCCTCTCAATGGTCGCTGCCCGCACTTACTTCACAATACCATGTTTCCTTTATACCGGGTACTCTCCTGCCTCAGTGACCTACCCTTACCAGGAACACAACTCGGCTCTATTGCCTGTTGTGGTTGTTGGTGGGGGTGTTGTGGTTGTTGGTGGGGGTGTTGTGGTTGTTGGTGGGGGTGTTGTGGTTGTTGGTAGAGGTGGTAGTGGTGGTGGTGTTATTATTGGTGTTTTCATTGTTGTTGTTATTGGTGTTGTTATTATTATTATTGTTGTTGTTGTTGTTGTTATTGCTATGATTCATAGTCGAACCTCTACCACCCCCAACAACCCCACCACCCCCCACCACACCATAAATGGGTAATGTGATTATTTTCTCCCAAAGTGCCATATATTTTCCGGTGCCGTAATGAGTCGCCACGTCGTTCACTCTAATTACTGGTCCTGTTATAATTACCTAGAGCTCCAAACTTTTCCTCTCTCTCTCTCGTTATTATTATAGGAATTCTAATTAGTATTTCTCTCTTTACAGATAAGGTGAGAGAGAAATAGTGAGCGAGACGTCTTGAGGTAAGTCTCTCTCTCTCTCTCTCTCTCTCTCTCTCTCATAATGACGGCGAGAACTACAACAACGTATTAATGGGTAAAGTTAGTTCTGAAACCCTCGCCGCCCACATATGCCACCCACCCACCCTTGCCGTCTGTCTGTAGTAGTAGTAGTAATGGCAGGTACCGCCCACATATGCCACCCACCCACCCTTGCCGTCTGTCTGTAGTAGTAGTAGTAGTAGTAGTGGCAGGTACTGCCCACATATGCCACCCACCCACCCTTGCCGTCTGTCTGTAGTAGTAGTAGTAGTAGTGGCAGGTACCGCCCACATATGCCACCCACCCACCCTTGCCGTCTGTCTGTAGTAGTGGCAGGTAAAGTGGAGGACATCAAAAAGTGGTGGGACCTGGTAACATCACGAGGCCCACAAATAAGGTACCACCCAAATGCCAGCAAGTCCTTCCACATTGTGAAGCCAGAACATTATGAACGGGCAATGGAGGCGTTCGGTGGAAGTGAGGTCAAAATAACAAAGGATGGCCAAAGACACCTAGGCGCAGTAATCTTTACGACGGACTTCAAGACCGAGTACGTAACAGTAAAGGTGAATGAGTGGGTTATGGAAATCCAAGCTCTGTCTGAGATTGCTAACACAGAGCCACATGCGGCTTTTGCAGCATTCACCCATGGAGTCAAGCATCGCTGGAACTACCTGATGCTCACTATCCCTGATATCGGACCCCTCTTCCACCCTCTGGAGGAAGCTATCAGCGTCAATTTCATTCCCAAATTAGTGAAACACCCTCACTTAAACCCAGCAGAAAGATCACTCCTTGTACTACCACCGAGACTGGGAGGAATGGGATTGACCAATCCAGGGGAGATTGCTGCCACTGAGCATCAAAACTCAGTTAAGCTCACGGCAGCCCTCACTGACCACATAATAGCTCAGAACGCAACAGGGGAGGTGGATACCAGTGAAGTAAACAAGATTAGAAGGTCCATTACGACAGAACGACAGCACGGCCAAAGTGATAAGTTGCAGCAACTGTTGCTGCAAGTACCAGAGAATTTGAAAAAAAAAGTAGCGATAGCGCAGGAGGTGGGCGCCTCGAACTGGTTAACTACATTACCGATAAGGGCAAATGGTTTCAGTCTTAATAAACAAGAATTTACAGATGCCATTGCTCTAAGGTACGGTCGGCCAGTAGAAGGTTTGCCCTCCCAATGCGTGTGTGGCTCTTCCTACGATGGCGATCAGGCCATGGTGTGCAAGAAAGGGGGCTTCATATGCATGAGGCATGACGAAGTAAGGGACCTCACAGCAAATATGTTGAAGGAAATCTGCCGTGATGTCAGGGTAGAACCGACCCTCCTTCCATTGGACGGTGAGATTTTCCAACATAGGACTTCAAACACATCCAACGAAGCCTGTGTTGTCGTCAGTGCTCTAGGATTCTGGATGCGGAGACAGCGAGCCTTCTTCGACATCAGGATTTTTTATCCCATGGCCGCATGTCACCGTAACTTAGCTCTCGATGCTGCACACAGGAAGAACGAGAACGACAAGATAAGGGGATACAGGGAGAGAATTCAGAAAGTTGATCAAGGCAGCTTCACTCCTCTAGTGTTTACAACCTCTGGTGGGATGGGACCAAGTGCAAGATGCTTCTACGCCAGACTCGCGGAGGTGATATCCGAACAGAAGCAGCAGCCCACAAGTTATGTTACAGCCTGGATGAGATGTCAACTGTCCTCTCTCCTTTGGTCGGCTTTGCTCTGCCTCAGGGGAACGAGAGCATCGGCCCCAAAGCTGACAACAGTTGCAGATATTGACTATGAGGCAACAGTCACTGAATGCTGCATAGATCTGCGGCTCAACTAAATCAACACAGATAGGATAGCTACTTATGTATTAGGATTTTTAATATTAAAGTGGTGGTGGTGGTAGTAGTAGTAGGGAGGCAAGGAGGAGGAAGGGAGGAGAGGAAGGCAAGGAGGAGGAAGGGAGGAGAGGAGGTGGTGGTGGTGTAGGAGGAAGAACGGGTAGTGGCTGGCTGGGTAGGTATGTGTGTGTGTTAGAAACTGGTTGTGTAGTGTACAAGTTGACCACGGGCGATGCTAGTGGCCTCTCTCTCTCTCTCTCTCTCTCATCAGGTGTCATAGCGTGAGAGAGGATAAAACCAGATTTTTATTACACAGGTGAAAGGTAATTACTAAGGCCCCTGTTGCCACCTCTGCCGTGACCTGTGTGTGTTGTTCATCTTGTTCACCTTGTCATGGGTCACCTGGAGGTGAACCTTGACCTCTATCCAAGCTTATTTCACCTGATTCCCCTCCCTCTCCCCTTTCAAGCTTATTTTTTTTTACCTGATGTAACACCTTAGCTTTTACCTGTGTGTGTGTGTGTGTGTGTGTGTGTGTGTGTGTGTGTGTGTGTGTGTGTGTGTGTGTGTGTGTGTGTGTGTGTGTGTGTGTGTGTGTGTGTGTGTGTGTGTGTGTTGTCTTCACCCACTTATCCACCCACCCACTTATCCACCCACCCACTCACCCAACTAGCCAGACAGCCAACCACCTTACTCAACTAGAAATCCACCCAGCTCTACCCCACTCCACCCCACCCCCCCCCCACCCCACCCCACCCCACCCACCCCCCCCCCCACCCCCCCCCCCCACCCCACCCCCCACAAGAGGTCATCCCCCAAGTATCTGCATGATGACAAAAACATGAGTCTTTCCACAGTTACTTATCCTCCTTCCCTCCGCATTCCTTCTTTCCTTCTCTCCCTTCCTTACGCCTTCCATTTTCCCTACCTCCCTCCTGTTCCACCCTCCTTCCCTACCTACCTACCCACGTCCTTCCTTCCTTCGACGCACACAGTTACGTAATTTATTAGCTTCCTCATGAATCACCGGAGAGCACTGTATAGAATCGGTGTGTGTGTGTGTGTGTGTGTATGTGTGTGTGTGTGTGTGTGTGTGAGATTGTTATTCAGTTCCCGACGAATTGAATTGATTTATTTTTCGTGAGGGCAGAGAGAGAGAGAGTGAGTTTGTGTCCTCCCTGATAGTTAGATATACTCCCTGACAGATATACCCCTTTGATCCCTCCCGTGGGTGGAACAGGTGGTGGCGTCTGGTATAGGTTGAACATATCATTTATCCCTGATGGTATACAGTGGGTAATGAACCTTGTTGATCTGAATGAGTCCCTGGCTGTTTGAGTTGGTAAGGACTCTGTAAACACTAACATCAAGGGACTCTGTAAACACTAACATCAAGGGACTCTGTAAACACTAACATCAAGGGACTCTGTAAACACTAACATCAAGGGACTCTGTAAACACAACATCAAGGGACTCTGTAAACACTAACATCAAGGGACTCTGTAAACACAAACAACTCATCAAGGGACTCTGTAAACACTAACATCAAGGGACTCTGTAAACACTAACATCAAGGGACTCTGTAAACACTAACATCAAGGGACTCTGTAAACACTAACATCAAGGGACTCTGTAAACACTAACATCAAGGGACTCTGTAAACACTAACATCAAGGGACTCTGTAAACACAAACATCAAGGGACTCTGTAAACACTAACATCAAGGGACTCTGTAAACACAAACATCAAGGGACTCTGTAAACACCAAACATCAAGGGACTCTGTAAACACAAACATCAAGGGACTCTGTAAACACAAACATCAAGGGACTCTGTAAACACAAACATCAAGGGACTCTGTAAACACCAAACATCAAGGGACTCTGTAAACACAAACATCAAGGGACTCTGTAAACACCAACATCAAGGGACTCTGTAAATACAACATCAAGGGACTCTGTAAACACCAAAAACATCAAGGGACTCTGTAAACACAAACATCAAGGGACTCTGTAAACACCAACATCAAGGGACTCTGTAAACACAAACATCAAGGGACTCTGTAAACACAACATCAAGGGACTCTGTAAACACAACATCAAGGGACTCTGTAAACACAAACATCAAGGGACTCTGTAAACACAAACATCAAGGGACTCTGTAAACACTAACATCAAGGGACTCTGTAAACACAAACATCAAGGGACTCTGTAAACACTAACATCAAGGGACTCTGTAAACACAAACATCAAGGGACTCTGTAAACACTAACATCAAGGGACTCTGTAAACACAAACATCAAGGGACTCTGTAAACACTAACATCAAGGGACTCTGTAAACACCAACATCAAGGGACTCTGTAAACACCAACATCAAGGGACTCTGTAAACACTAATCAAGGGACTCTGTAAGCACTAACATCAAGGGACTCTGTAAACACTAACATCAAGGGACTCTGTAAACACTAGCATCAAGGGACTCTGTAAACACTAACATCAAGGGACTCTGTAAACACTAACATCAAGGGACTCTGTAAACACAAACATCAAGGGACTCTGTAAACACTAACATCAAGGGACTCTGTAAACACTAGCATCAAGGGACTCTGTAAACACTAGCATCAAGGGACTCTGTAAACACTAGCATCAAGGGACTCTGTAAACATTCCTCTTAAGTTGTATAGTGAGAAAGTGAGATTTGTATAGTGAGAGAGAACTGGATCACCTTGACTGCACCTGGAGAGAGAGAGAGAGAGAGAGGGGGTGGGGGAGGGTAGTGACTGACTGACTGGTGGTGGGGAAATAAGGTTGAGGTTTTGTGTGTGTCTCTTAACCTTGATTTAATTGCAGTACCGACATTGGCATTTACTGTGTGTGTGTGTGTGTGTGTGTGTGTGTTTCCGGGCAGAACTCACCCACTATCCACCTCTTGTCATATGCTGATTAAGTTTGCGTTAGGTATGTTAAGTTTGCGTCTGATTAGGTTAAGTAGTCGCCCAAAGTTAGATCACATCCAGCAGAGGCTAACATAATGACGTTACTGGTTCATATTTAGAAGAGGGTGTGAACTTGTTGATGGGTTAGATACGGCAGGAGGTGGCTGTTGGTTCATATCCAGTAGATGATGTTGGCTTGAGATCCACGTCACGAAGCTATAGATTGGTTCACATCCACCACAAGAATCCGTAACTTAACCCACTTCCACCTCAAGACGTCATCATTTAACCCACATCCACCCCAAGACGTCATCATTTAACCCACATCCACACAAGACACCATCACTTAACCCACATCTACCAGGGGAGAATTATTTATTCACATCCACTAAAAGCACCCTGAAGAGGTTCCCAGTGTCAGAGTTTAGACAGAGGCTTGCCGACAGGAGGGAGATGAAGGGTGAGGGGACAAGGAGGAGAGGTAGAAGGGGTGAGGGGACAGGGAGGAGAGGGGTGAGGGGACAAGGAGGAGAGGGGTGAGGGGACAAGGAGGAGAGGGTGTGGAGGGGGAGGTGTGGGAGGGGCAGGAGGAGAGGAGCGTGGGAGGGGGCAAGGAGGAGAGGGCGTGGGAGGGGTATACAACAAGACGTGTGGGTGTTTGTTTACTCTGAGTGGCGTGAGAGGTGGGGGAGGAGAGGGTGCGAGGCGTTCCTGGGGGTGGATGTCTGAGTTCCTCTCAAGTTTCATTCATCAGCGTCAATTTGTGGCTTATGGTGTTATTTGTTGGTTGTAGTGGTGTTAATTGTGCTTACAGTGGTGACTTATTTGGCTCTCTCTCTCTCTCTCTCTCTCTCTCTCCCCCATCTCTCTCCTCTCCCCCTCTCCTTCCTCCTTCCCCTCCCCCCCCTCCTTCCCCCTCCCCCGGACAGATTAATTCTCCCTCTAATCACGGTAATCTCTCCTCAGATCACTACAGGTAGGGTTGAGGTGTCGCTAATTACACTCTACCTGGCCTCGGGGATTCCTAAAGGTGCTCCCATACCATAGATGTGGCCAGAGAAACTGTGGTTGTGGCGTTATTGTGGTAGTGGTGTCGTGTGGCTAAAGTGCGGCAATTTTGTTTTATTGTTGTTGTGGTTCAGCCATTGGATTAAATTGGCTAACCCTGATTAAGACTTAACCTTCCTTGTGTGGTAATATTCGCCTCTTATCCTTCTCGTGTTTCTGATTGGCTGGTTAATGCTTCCTTTACCCTCCTCCCTCCCTCCTCCTCCCTCCCTCCCTCCCTCCCTCCCTCCCCTCCTCCTCCTCCCCTCCCTCCCCTCCTTCCTTCCTTCCTTCCTTCCTTCCTTCCTTCCTCTCCCTCCTCCCTCCCTCCTCCCTCCCTCCCTCCTCTCCTCCCTCCTTCCTTCCTTCCTTCTTCCCTTCCTTCCTTCCTTCCTTCCTTCCTTCCTTCCTTCCTTCCTTCCCTCCATACATGCATACATATCATCCTTCCTTCCCTGCCGTGTGTGTTTGTGTATGAGAGAGAGAGTGTGTGTGTGTGTGTGTGTGTGTGTGTGTGTGTGTGTGTGAGGTGACAGGTGTTGATCATTAACCCCCACTTCCCCCATCAGTACACCTGGGTCACCTGTCCCCCACACACCTGTCAAGACGCACCCTGACTTGCTCGCTCACCGTAAGTTTTGGCTACAGGACTTGACTTGTCTATTACTGATGGAAAAATATATTGGAAGATGTTCTATAGGTTAGGTTAGAATTAGGAAATACACACACACACACACACACACACATACACACACATATCATTCTCACAAACTTACATCTCTCTCTCTCTCTCTCTATGGTATTTCAGGCTTTAACAGTGACAAAACCCCGATAAGTTATGGTGTGGCACCTCGTCCTTCATGCTGTGTTGCTGTACTGTTCATGCTGTGTTGCTTTGTTCGTTGTGTTTTGCTGCTGTTCATGCTGTTTGCTTTGCTGTTCGTTGTGTTGCTGTACTGTTCATGCTGTGTTTGCTTCTTATTCGTTGTGTTGCTGTACTGTTCATGGTGTGTTGCTGTACTATTTCATGCTGTGTTTATTTATACTGAATTCCTGTGTGTGTGTGGGGGGGGTGGTAGAGACTGCCTGCCTTGTCTAGAGGGTCAACATAGAGGCATTCACTAGTACTGTCCTCGTCTGCTGGGTGGGATGAGGGTGTAGTAGTGGGTGGGAGAAGGACGGTGTGGTGGGTGGGATGAGGGTGTAGTAGTGGGTGGGAGAAGGACGGTGTGGTGGGTGGGATGAGGGTGTAGTAGTGGGTGGGAGAAGGACGGTGTGGTGGGTGGGATGAGGGTGTAGTAAGGTAGGCTGAGTGTGATGTTAGGGTACTGTATGGACCACCTGTAATTAATTCTCTTTACCTTTATTTTTTGTTTATTTGTTTATCTGTTTGTGTATGATGTAAACAAAGGGTACGTGACGTAAATGGCGGTCATCAACATCCGGGACACGCACACACACGCACACGCACACGCACACACACACACACACACACACACACACTGCCCGCATCATTGTTTTAGTAATGAGTCCGGAAATCCTAGTGTCTGTGTGTAGCGGTACTTTCATGAGGTAATTTCATGTTTTTTTTTAGGTTACCTGAAGATTAAACACCCTAGCTTTAAAATCTGTAGCTACCTGTATGTTACCTGTGTTTACCTGTGCGTGTATCTACCTGTCTCGTGGCACCTGAATTAATAAAGTGAAGTAATTAAGTAAACGACACGATGTGAGTGTGAATGATAAACCGTGAATTGTGTTGAAAGTGCGTTACCATGGCGACTGTTGTTGGGGTGTGACGTCATAGATGATTGTTGTTGTTCTGACGTCACGTGTGCCATTGTCTCGTGTATTCATTCACTCACTACCATAGAATACCATTGATGTCATTGTGTAGACTGTGCACCCTACCATACCCCTGTTGATTTTGTTCTTTGTTGTTGTTGTTTGTTGGGTTTGATCAGTAGATGCCTGGTTATGTCTCTTGAGTGTTTGTCAGTAATGGAGTGGGGGGGGTGAGGGGTGAGGGGAGGGCAGTTTTGGCACCTAGTAGAGTAGATTCTGTGTACGACAAGATATCAGAAATTGTCAGCTGTTGATGACTTTACCAGAAAACTAACACTTGTATACACACACACTCTCTCTCTCTCTCTCTCTCTCTCTCTCTCTCTCTTTTGACCAGCTACACTCAGTAGTGCCGCCAACACACACTGCACCACACCACCCTCTACCACACACACACACACACACACACACCTTATCTTCCAATACTTCAGTTCTCACACTATACTCACCTCCACCCACACCTGCACATCCCCACCCGCACACCCCCACATCTGCACACCCCCACCCACACACCCCCACCCATGCACACCCACCCACCCACATACCCACCCCAGACTAGTACTGTGTGGAACTATCTTGTCTCAGTGTGTTGTTGTTCCTATATCATTATCGCTTCCATCAGCTGAGAAAATCCCTATATAAATATCTCCACTCACTGACAAGGAGGACGGGCGCCTCGGTGAACATGACTGACTGACAATCGAACATAAGAATGGAGGAAACTGCAGCGGGCCTATTGGTCCATACTAGGCAGTCCCATTTACACCCAACCCCTATTGCTCATATATCCATCCAACCTATGTTTCAAGCTATCCAGCGTATTCGAGTTAATGATGATATTTGGTAACTTGTTCCATTCACCCACTACTCTATTTCCAAACCACTGTTTACCTATCTCGCGCCTAAATCTAAAGTTGCCTAATTTAAAACCATTGTTACGAGTTCGCTCCTGGTTGGATAGTTTGAGTACCTTTGTTATATCACCTTTGTTTAACCCTGACTTCCATTTACACACCTGTATCATATCACCCCTCACTCTACGTCTCTCGAGGGAGTGCAAATTAAGATGCTTTAACCTGTCTCTGTACTCAAGGTTCCTAATGCCCGGGATTGGTCTTGTCATTCTCCTCTGAATTTATTATTTGGGATTCTCGGCTGATTTATTTCCTGAAGGGATTATATCCATTATGATGTCATTAATTAAGGGGGTGGGTGAGGGGTGGATGGGGGTGGGTATAGAGCATGTGTTATAACGCCCCCTCTTTCCCACTCCCTGCCATAACTCGGACTGGTTGCATGCCACCCCCCATCCTCTCCCCCCCCCCTCCCAGCCATACTAGAGTGGTGAGGGAGGTAGTGAGACAGGTGCAGTGTGTGTGTGTGGTGTGAGCTGGTAGGTGTACTGATAGTGCTTGTAGTAGTGGTGGTGGTTGTGCTCTCTCTCTCTAACTAACTATATATATCCATTAATCTATTTATATATTACAGGAATAACTATTTGTTTCTTCTAATGACTAAATCTAGTAACAGTGATAACAATAATCTTTGGTGTCTGTGTGTGTGGTGTGACTACAGGTGTTCGTGTGGTGTGACTACAGGTGTTCTTGTCAACAGATGTCCGTCGTGTGATGATGAGGACGAGGACAGGAAGCTGCAAGCCTCTTCTATCCTCGTCGTCGTTGCCGTCGTCGTGGTACAGGACTAAGGAAGAGGGGGAGGTGCCAGGAGGGCCAGCAGGGTGGTGGTGGGTAGTGAGTGTCATCTCCCTCACACCTCACCTTGTACGGTACGTCGTGACGGCGGTGAGTGCATGGCTACCTGCTTGTTTGTTGTCTGTGCCTCTGTGTCTGTGTATAAGGGCATCATGCGCGTTGATTGGTCCCCCGGTCCTTGCCAATCCCAGTCCTGGTGGTTGGTAAGGACCTGACCTGACCTGTCCTGACCTAACCTGATTTCACCTGATCCTAACCTAACCCGACCTGTCCTCTCATAACTTAACCTGTCCTGTCATAACCCGACCCGACCTATTTTGACCAATCACCGTACATTTTTTGCCCGGATACACAGGCATATAAATAAGTACTTTATATTATTGTGATGTTGCTGTTAGCCTGCCACCCTCCCCTTAGTGTTGCCACCCTTGGGTCAAAATGGCCCCTAACCCGACCCGACCCGACCCGACCCGACCTCTGTATCCTGCTCTGTTTTGGCTGTCATTATTTGTGGCTTTATATGTGTAATATAGTATAGTGAAGTTTCCATATAACGGACTTGTCTCCATATAGTTCGTTAAATAGAGGTTTCACATCTAACGGACCCTCGATATAATGGACTTCCCTCTCCATATGGTTCGTTAAATCGAGGTTTCACATCTAACAAACCTTCGATATAACGTACTTCCATCTCCATATAGTTCGTTAAATCGAGGTTTCACTGTATTTACTGTATGTAATAATCTCTTCAGTAGTTACTAAGTGACTGCCATGCCTGCTATGCCTGTATACTGTAGTTGTCAAGTGCCAGTGTACAGTCCAGTAATAATAGCTTGTTGCAGCGGAGGTCACTTGTGTTCATAACTATAGGCTAGGTTAGGATGTGGGTTAGGTTAGGTTAGGGGTGGTTAATGCTAGTGTAGGTTAAGTTAGGTTAAGATATATCTGGTTAATTAAGCTGTAGGTTAAATTAGGTTAGGGGTGGTTAATGCTAGTGTAGGTTAAGGTATATTTGGTTAATGAAGCTGTAGGATAGGTTAGGGATAGTTGAGGTTAGATTACGAATAAGGTTCATTAGGTTAGGTTAATTTTGCTTAGGAGTGGTTTAGGTTAGTATAAGTAAGCTAGGTCAAGCTAGGTTACAGTTAGTTCAAGTTACGTTACAGTTAGCTGGTAGGTTAGGTTAGGTTATGATAACAAGGATGCCCGAGTTGCTTAGTAATCAATGTTTATTAATGCCATGTTGTTGTTCACTGCTGATTACACCTGTCTGACCCTCACCAAGGTAGGTATGAATGTATGTGTGTACTGTACATTGTTTATAAAGTACTGTAGTTGATGTATGTATATTTATGTGTATATACAAGATTGATATGTGTATGTGTATTTACCTAAAGTATTGTTGTATGTACTTTTAATATTTTTATTGGGGGGGGGGGTGACTGTACCGGCTGCTGTATTTGGAACTGTATTTCTTGTTTCCCGGTCATGTGGTGCTGCCTAGTGTGGTGTTGCATAGTGTCGTGTTGCATAGTGTCGTGTTGCATAGTGTCGTGTTGCATAGTGTTGTGTTACATCGTGTCGTATCTGTGTTATATATATATATCATTGATGTGGCGTCTTAACTGTTGTCTTCTTAATACAATACTGGGTACAGGTATATTATCAGTCCCTCACCCCTCACCCCTCAGCCCACCCCCCTCACCCTCACCCCTCACCCCCTCACCCCCTCCCCCCTCACCCCTCACCCCTCCCCCTCCCCCTCACCCCTCCCCCTCACCCCTCACCCCTCCCCCTCACCCCTCCTCCCTCACCCTCCCCTCACCCTCACCCTCAGCCCACCCCTCACCTGGGAGTAGTCTAATAACGGTGTTTTGATTCAGTACTGAGATTGATTAGGACCGTTGTAGGTTTTGGTATAGCCAACTGTGGGAGGTGGTAGAATGCAGATACGTATTGATTAATGTTAGAGGCAGGTATGTGGGTGTGTATCAGGTGTGTATGCATGTAGCAGGTGTGTGTGTATGCAGCAGGTGTGTGTGTTTAGAATAGAGGAGGGTATATAAACAACATCTGTGTCCTCCTCCACAAGTGTTGGGACAATACATGTTATGAATGATTATTTCTTCTTGTATTACTTTAGACACACACACACACACACACACACACACACACACACACACACACACACACACGCTCTCTCTCTCTCTGCTGGAACCTCTCTCTCTCTCTGCTGGAACCTCTCTCTCTCTCTCTCTCTGCTGGAACCTACCTCTATATCTATCTCTCTATCTTTTTCTCTTCTTTGTTTATTCTCATTCTGTTCATACTTTCACACATAACTCCCCCCTCCCCCTCCCATTTTTGAGGCACCTTCTCACTTTGCTAATATTGCCTTACATCACTCCCACTAAGGTAAGCTTTCTCTGCATTAATGCCACTTGGTTTAATTTACCAGAGTTTACCCTGAGTGTTTTCTGTTATTAGTTTTATTTATGCTCTCGCCCTTGCTAGTCTATGATGGCCTAGTTATGGGTAAATCTCTCTCTCTTCTCTCTCACTCTTAATTGCTCTAATCTAACCTAAGGTACATTACTCCAGTGTAGCCAGGTCAGTGTGGGTGGTGATGACCCTGCCCGCCTGCTAACTAGTTCTTAAAGAGATATTAATGATCTCCTGCCTTCCTCTTTCCCATCTCTCTCTCTCTCCTCCACATTCTCTCTCCTGCTCGTTCTCTGTCCTCCACATTCTCTTTCTCCATCCCCCTCTCTCTTCTTCACCTAGTTATCCCAGGAAGAGGGAGTAAAATCATGTGTGCTTTCCTTCAACATGTTCCAGGAGTTGTGGTGATGAGGAAGCTTAATTCTGTGTTATTTTTGTTTAGTTTAGTATCGATATTTCTTTGTTGACTAGTTAGCAGTTTAAAAAAGTTAGCATTGTGTGTTATGGAGACATTCTTGTTATGTTGTGAAGGTTCCTGTGCTGTGCTGTGCTGTGCTGTGCTGTATGTGATGTGTTTGTGTATCAGTTTGCTCTTCATGGCTGTCATTTGTTTGCTATTAAAGTTACTAATCAGTTTGTATTTAATGTTAGTGCTTTTATATGTATGTGACTTTATTGCAGTCTATTGATGGAATCCTCGATTTTATACAATGTCCAAAACTTATTTTAAAAATCGGTTCTTCATATTTTTTTCAAGAATTAAAATGGTGAGGATTATTCCATGTTCTACTGTACTCTGCTCTACAAGTAACAGAGGATAAGTGATGTGCCAAGTAGTGTCTGACTTATTTAGTTATTGCAGAAGTGTAATGTTGTGATGTGGAGAATGATGCGGCGATATCTGCCCCACGCTGTGGTAGGGGCGTTCATCCTAGTGCTCATCTACCGCTCTCAGCGTCCTTGCCAAGAGACACTCCAGCGACCACACAAACAGGCGAGCACTTGAGTCTTGGTTGTTGATGTATAGTACTCTATTTATGGGAACATTTCTTACCTGTTCTTGAAAGTAAGTGACAGTTCCACTATATCACTCAATCGATCAAGTCAACCTTGTAAGCCAGCCATATTGCTACATCTACAATGGTTCCCTCTTTCCCCTTGGCCATAATATATTTTTAGAGTTTTTCCTGTAAATTAAAACTTTTTCCTATAGGTTTAACCATGACCATTGACCAACAGCATGTAGCATCTGATAGTAGTGGGGCGCTGCACAACTATGATCGGAGTGAGCCCATGATCTTCATCGGTGGCATGCCAAGATCTGGCACCACACTGGCCCGTGCCATGCTCGACGCTCATCCTGACATACGGTGTGGAGAGGAAACTCGAGTAGTGCCGAGGATACTTCAGATGAGGCAACAGTGGAAGAGGTCGGCCAAGGAAGCACTGCGGCTACAAGAAGCTGGTGTCACAGATGAGGTTAGCCCGGGGTCCTTTCTTTTTTCTGGCTTATAAACACAAAATACACCTTTGATGTTCATAATTGTGTGGGTAAATTAATGATATCTAGAACTGTCTTGATTAGATGATACTAAACACCAAGTTAGTTTCATGAGCTGTGTCTGTGTTGTGTTAGTCTCTATGGTACAGTCAGGGGAGATGTTTCTATATCCAGTCGAGTTGTGGCGGTGTAGCAGTAGTAGAGACGAGTGGGGATTCAACTAATGTCTCATGGATTGGGCTTTAGAATCGTCCCTTGCAGTCGTATATAGATGTGGAGTCATGCATGATACGTATAGTGTCTGGGGATATCACAGGGATTATAGAAACACCTTACCTTGACTGTACCTCTCTCTCCCTTCCCACCTCCACACACCCTCTTTATTGGTATTAACTTGGGCTAATTATAAAGTAGAGTAACAAATGTAGAATATCATCGTACCTTTCTTTCTCTGTTTGGATTGGTTAACTTTTTGACTCTCCACAAGCCAGGATGGGTTTTGAAGTCCGGTTTCTCAGTTACACGAATTTCTGCATCATTGATCTGTCTCGCACACTATAGGGATGAGTTCTAGACTGTGATATATATAGTAATTGTGGATCATATAGGATTTGACTTGTATGTATGTTGTTATAAGTAGATAAGTTAACGAGCAACAGGTAAGAGGCTATCGTTGGAGGAAGGTATAATCCCCGTTGTGTTTCAGGTGCTGGATGAAGCCATATCCTCCTTCATCCTGGACATAGTGGTAAATCATGGACAACCAGCAGCTCGTTTATGCAACAAAGATCCCTTCACCCTCAAGTCGGCCACCTATCTCTCTAAACTTTTCCCCAATGCCAAATTTCTCTTTATGGTGCGGGACGGCCGGGCAACGGTCCACTCCATCATATCCCGCAAGGTTGGTGGACGAGTCGTGTTACCGGCGCAGAGAGGAGGTCCATAGTGAGAGTGTTATGTGATTTAGAATGTTAATACGGTATATTTTTTGTAGGTACAGTACAGTACTTAGTGGATGAGATGGTAGTGATACAGACAGTTTACATATCTTATTGTTTTCGATTCATTTCTATTTCTACACTGTATAAACCAAGGCATCACTATTATGTTCTTTTAATAAATAAGAAAGAAAGTATATGTAATGTTTGTGAATAGATTAGTTGGAGGTCCTGGGATATCCTCAGTGATCTTCATTAGTTAGTCTGGGTTGCAACTTAGGGCTTGATGTGTAAATATACGAGTCTCCGGACTTGGGCTAAATTGATGCCACTTGCTCTGTAATTCTTGAGGTATTGATATCACATTTAGAATTTGTTACTGCACTGTTTTGTTTTCAGGAGGAGAAAGTCATAAGGAGAGAGACCATTCTTAGTGTGAATTATGTGTTTTCTTCCTATGTTGGTATCGGGAAACTGGTACATCTGTGTGTATTGGATTATACTAATTGAAAGCCTTGTGAATTTTTAACCATTTAGTGAATAGTTTTTAAATGTATGAACAGAATTGAAAGAGTTGTGTATAAACTTGTCATTCATAAACCATTATTTTCAGGTAACTATCACAGGGTTTGACCTATCATCATATAAGCAGTGTCTGCAAAGGTGGAATAGTGCTGTACAGACAATGAACACCCAGTGTGATGAATTGGGATCAACTAAGTGCTTGCCCGTATATTATGAGCAACTGGTCCTACATCCCCAAGAGTGGATGAGAAAGATTTTGGACTTCCTGGGTGTCGATTGGGATGACTCTGTACTGCATCACGAAGAGCATATAAATAAACCTGGTGGCGTATCTCTGTCCAAGTGAGTCGAAGATATATGTTGTATTTACTCACATTGATGGGGTCATGTAGGTATTGATCAGTAATGTCTCTGTCTGTTGAATAACTTGAGCACAGAAGGAGCTACACTGATCGTACCTGGTTTATATATTCACTATGATAGTCCATAGACCTGGTATAGTTTTATAGATGAAAGGTTAAAGGTCAGATCAGGGTCTTAGCTCTGAAAAAAATGCATAAATTTAGAGTTATAACTTAAGTATGATGGGTCATGAAGTATTGAAAGCAGGTAAATGATATGTTACACCATGACTCACTTAAGTTAATGTTGTTATACCTGATCAGTTAAATTTATATATGTTTCTTGTATGATTTTAGTTTGATTATTTTACCTTCACAGGGTTGAGCGATCGAGTGACCAAGTGATCAAACCAATTAACTTAGATGCTCTTAGCAAGTGGGTGGGCCAGATACCCAAAGATGTAGTGGAAGACATGGCCAACATAGCCCCCATGTTGGCAACTCTTGGTTATGACCCCTATAGCAACCCTCCAAACTATGGCCAAGCCGATGCTTTAGTTGCGAATAATACAAAGCGGATACAAAAGGAGTTGAGTAAGTGGGAGGACCGTGCCGAGGAGGTGCGGAGCATCTCGAAACATCGGAAAGGCGACAACACATGATCATCGTCCTCCAGTGTGCTACATCTCTGGTGTCATTCCTCTTCATGGCCATGTGTGAATATGAATTTGTGTGATGTTCAGAAAGATTAGTGTCTAGAGGTGTAGATATCATACCAGTACAGTACCCTTATTGGATATTTTATGACAATTAATTTAACCAACCAGTGTTTTTACCACTTTTTGTTTGTATTTTTTCTGAGCATGTATTGCATGAGTCTGTCTTGGTACAAAACTTAAAATGAAAAAAATTCATAAGCTTATCCATTGTACTTTATTATTTATTTTCATGTGAATTTATTCCTTCAGAATTTTCAGGTGGCACAAACCAGGTTATGACAGTATTGAACATAAGTGTTAACACATGCTTTGTAGTGTCTTGGGGTGATGAAAGGTGGAGTGTATAGTGTTGACAGGAGTAATATTATTCTTCATGAGTTTTGTATACTTGGCAAGTGGTGTGTGACTCCTGGGAATAATAGTATTTAAGTAGTCATGGATTTTACAAAATATTTCCTAATGTTGAAAATGTTGCAGAATCACTTTGAGTAATTGATGTTTGTGAGAAGAGTATTGCAAGAGTTTTTCATCTAATATTGATGTGCAATTGATATCATTGATATATTTTAAAGAACCAACTTAATATAAGATAATTTCACTTCAGGAGTATGCAATCAGGGATGTGCAACATACTCTCAGCTGAGGCCCATGAGATGTGTGCTAGAGATCACCACAGGATCAAAGTCCCAGTTATGTGCAGTGTACAGAAAAGGGCATTAACAATGTTTGGTGAGCCACAGAAAATAATCAGGAGTCTAGGTCCAGCCCATGGATTGTAGGTTGTATATAAGGCCTTTATGTAATGGTCATTTACTTTTGAAAAACTTTGTGTCATCACTTTATTTGCAGGATATTTCTATCACAGATAATGGACTGGGGGTTAAATTTTATATTGCTGAGAGTTGTTAGGTGTTGTTTGCTGTAATACACACACACACATCTGGGCCTAGATATTACTTAAACTTGTGGCAGGTCACTGTGTCATCTGTTAATAACAACTACAGGTATGAATAACTCACTCTAGCATTGTAGTAATAGTAAAGTCAGATACTGTACAAGAATGTACGTAACCTGTACATTAAATAGCCATCCAAAATGTTTGAGGTACTATTCTTGAGGGTGGAGGAAATGGAATTACAGAATGGCAGATGTCAGTGTTTCATATTTTATATGTGAACTGTTATTTGAATATCATTTTAACTTCTAACATAAAGACACACAAGGTTGGAATAATGCAACTGAAATCAGTCTTGAAGACTGAGTTATGGTGAACCATGCCAGAGAGATGTTGAATTTCATAAGCCTTTTTAATGTTGTAATGTACGGTTATCCAATCTGAAGTTGTATCACAGGTGCCGTATATCATAATCATACAGAATTGTTTTTTTAATTTCGCTAGAATGTCGATGATGTACAGCACCAAATTTGAAACATATTAATTGTCGACAGCATTGAAAATTATTATATCTTTTAATGAAAGAGAATTCAATACATTGTAGTACATGTATAATGCAATGAAAAAGTTCTTGGATAGTTATCCACATGTATTTATGATCTTACTAATTATGATGCATTTCATCTGTTTCATTAAATGTAACATTTATTATTGATATGTAATATGTAATGCAAGCTGCTAGTATCAAGCATTTAGTGTCACTTACATCCCATTAAAAATTTTGATTTTTTTCATTAGTTTCATGAGCCTTCATAACTCTGTCAGTTCATGTCCCTTTGCTTCGACCATGTGCAGTTGTTAAAGAGTGAATTGATTGCCTCTTACCATTAACTTATCTTGAAAACTGTAAATTTCATTTGAGGTTGATATAGACACAAGCTCTGAGAGTGAGATTTGTACAGTTTATGTGTGGGAATAATGTGAGTTCCCATGTTACCAAAAAATTATGGTGAAGAAATGAGATCCAAGTCTTTCTCAAAGCACAAAGTAATGGATAGTTTCATGTGGTGCTTTTATGTAAATTAAGTGAAATGTTTGTTTGTACAGTTAGAGGTGAACATGACTTTGTCAGCTAGATAAGATAAGAAGGATGTATTATGTTGCCAAGTTGTCAAGATTTCTGTGACTTTTCTAACAGTGTATTGTCTCATATACCACTCCATTGCTAAAACTCAGTCCCGATTTATTGAGAAAATTGTGTACATTTATTAGACATGACAAGAATCTGTGTGTATGTTTATATTACTGATATTAATTACCAAAATATATTAATAAAAATATAGACTAATTTTTTATTGTGTAATGATGCTTGGAATATTTTAATTATATTTTTCAATGCTAATTACTCACCAACTATGGGTTTTCCAAGGAACAATTTAAGTGTTTTTGTGTTATTCTGGAAGAACTTAATTCGGGGTAGTAGGCAGCTACCAAACGGAGGTACTACCGCCTGGGAAGATATTGGAAGCATAATGTGTTGTCTAATGGTAGACCCTGCTGCCATATGGCATCACGAAAAATTGTGACCAAGTCCCAGGTTGATGATCTGACTTTCTGCCTCATTTACACACAATTGCAGGGTTTCAATTTTCTCTCTTACTATTGACAGCACAATATATATAACCTTTCTCACTCTTGATCTGTTCTATTCTTTTTACTCTTTTATTCTCCTATGTTATCAGTTGATAATAATAAATAATATATTAAGTGGAGCCTTCTCGGATGGGTCCCATTGGTCAGGAAGGTTGTGGACCCCAGGGTCGATCTGATCATCATCAAACTACTAGGGCCTCAACTGACGTCACTGAGGTTGCTGGAGGTTCGCCTTTTCATACACATAATTTTTCCAACATTCACGGCCTGAGATCCAATTTTCCTCCTGTGGAGCACCATCTATTAACTTCTTCCCCCGACTTCTTACTACTATCTGAACTTCAACTGACCAAAGCAGTTTCTCCCAAACCTTTTTAAGTCTCCATCTACAACCTTTATACCTCTTTCTGTCCTAAAGGAGATGTATGCGCCTACTGCAACACATGTACACCTATAGCTCGACTCACAGTTCTTGAATCTTCTCTTTATGATGTCATCTGGCTCAAAATATCTCTACCGACTATGAACTATTTTTCTTTTTTTCCTATACTGTTCTCCCAACTATACCAACTATTTGGAACTCTTTCACTATCTCACTTCTTGCCTGAATCATTGCTATCCACACTCCCCAACACCAAGAACCTCTACCAAGGGGATTTCAATGTACATCACAGAGAGTGGCTTGGCTCTGCAAGGGATGACCCAGGTGGAGCCAAGGCACACTCTTTTTCCTTACTTAATGATCTGAAACAAATAATTAAACACCTTACACGTGTTCCTGATCGACACGATCAACTTGCTAACATTCTTGATTTTTGTTTTACCTCTAACCCCTCACACTATTCATACTCAATTTCTACCCCTTGGGGTCTCCTGATCACAATCTTATTTCTATTAAATCAAACTGGGCACAACCACCTACCCACCCCCCCTGTAAATGGCAACTATGGCACTATTGGAGGGCAAACTGGCAATCTTTGCAAGAATTCTTATGTTCTTATGTTCTTATCTGGAGGCAGATGATTGTGGGAGTTGTTGTTTTACGTATTAACTATCGTGGGCATTGTCGGCAAGCACGTCTCAGTTGGGCACTGTCGGCAAGCACGTCTCTGTTGGGCACTGTCGGCAAGCACGTCTCTGTTAGGCACTGTCGGCAAGCACGTTTCTGTTAGGCACTGTCGGCAAGCACGTCAGGCACTGTCGGCAAGCACGTCTCTGTTGGGCACTGTCGGCAAGCACGTCTCTGTTAGGCACTGTCGGCAAAGCACGTCTCTGTTGGGCACTGTCGGCAAGTACGTCTTTGTTGGGCACTGTCGGCAAGTACGTCTCTGTTGGGCACTGTCGGCAAGTACGTCTCTGTTAGGCACTGTCGGCAAGTACTCGGTGCCGTCACATTACACACTGGGAGAATGATGGCCAATGTTTATTACTCAACTTGTAATGCGCGTTAAGACTGCAGTTGTTGAAGCACACTATTAACTATAACGTCAAAGTTTTGTATGATAATAGATTTTACTTTGAAGGGACTGACTGGGGTATTTCCTTCGATTATTTGTAACTTCAAAATGGTTATGGGAAGTGGCACTTGTTATTTATTAATGGTTCCAGCATAACAATATGTATATGAAGAAGTTAACTTGAATTGTTCACGCGAGAATAAAACTACAGGTACTTAGATGAGTATTATTGTTTTGGCGATAGCGGGAACCATTTTATTTTAATACACTGTAGTAATATTCCTCATTATCCAGAACCTGTCACTCATTTGTTTTGGAATGTCTGTAAAATATTCTGCACCTTATAGACTAAATTGTACAGTGTTTTACAGGGAGTCCAAGAAGTTGTGGGTGGGGGAACATGGCGAGGACACCAAGCCCACCCAGCTGTTTTTATTTTTATTTATTTAATTTTTTTTTGGGGGGGGGGGCATTTTGAAGCCGAGAGCACTTGGTATTAAGAGATATTCTGAGGTCATTAGTAATTACTTTTTACTATACAAAAAACACCTGAGTGCAATATTGCTTAAAGAAAAAGTACCTGATTGGAGTTTTCTGATGAAATGGGGAGTTTGGACCCCTCCCCTGGAGCCTCCCCTGCTGTGGACTTGATAGTAACAATAAATACAGTGACTTGTAGCATTATATACCTTCTGGAATTAATATCTGAAGATTCTCTTGCAGTATTCTGGTACCTTTTGGAAATATTCTATAGTACATTGTCTTACAAGATTCAGTACCTTTCTGTAACTTGTAAATCATCCATCTTTTCAAAATACAGTACAGTACTGTACTGTATTTTCTTGTGCCAAATCATGTGGGAAGTGTGCTATACAGTGTGTAATATTCTGTATGTTTAAGTGTTTGTGTCAGGTAAAACACGTTTTAATCCAATTACTTTTTATTTAATAATTTTTGGAATATTTTAAAACAAATATCTGTAGGTTGCTGTGAAAGCATACTGAAATATTAGCTGACGTGTTTGTGACTACAGTGAAACCTGCATATAATGGACCAATGTCTAATGGATTTTACTGTAGTTCGTTAGATGGAGGTTTCTCATCAAATGGAATCTTGAGCTCATAGACTACACCCTCCATATACAGTACAGTAGTCTTTTAAATGGAGGTTTCACATCTAGTGGAACCTCACTCTAATGGACTTCCTTTCCATGTGGTCCATTAAATAGAGGTTCCACTGTATCGATACTATACATTACTGTAATCATTTATTGATCAGTTACTGTATTTATATACAATATTGACTGCCACATGTGGACACAGGTAAACACTTTTCTTGCCTCGTGTTCAGTCAGGTTTAGGATATGAAAACACAAACAACTTTTCAACAGTTGAATGAATACTACAATATATATTTGGAAAACCCACAGAACACTGTGGCTCCTGCTGATGGAGCGTTGGCTGCCAGACTCACAGAAGGAAGCCGGGGTGCTTATTACAACCATCATCAACAGGCCAGCTGTTGGAGGTTGGTGTCTCCTACTGGAGGGACTAACGTGGATTTTTTATAGAATATTAAAATAACAAATCGGTTTGAGTTGTAGTTTATAGAACATTAGAATTTGTATTAAACTTTTTGTACCTTTTTTCTATTAAAGATGTTACATTAAAATTATGAATATAGATGCATAAAGCCATTTTTGCCCTTAATATACATAGTACAGGTACTGTACCTGTATTCAGTATTTAAAAAAAAATTACCCATACATACAGATTACTGTACAGTACTGTATTGTACAGTATTTAGATACAGCCCAGTGGATGAAACTGTTGCACAATACATGTACATCTTTAAATTAAGGTCGTGACTCGAATTATATTATGATTGATATCTTTTGTCAATATTTTCTACCTTATGTTATTAAATCCATTATAGAATCACTCATAATCTCCCATCTCGGTTAAACTTTCATTGATATTTTTGTTATTCTCAAGTCTTCTTTGTTTAGTGTGTGTAAGAAAACCACCACCATATCACCACCACCACCATATCACCACCACCACCATATCACCACCACCATATCACCACCACCATATCACCACCACCACCATCTCACCACCACCATCTCACCACCACCATATCACCACCACCCATATCACCACCACCACCATCTCACCACCACCATCTCACCACCACCTTACCACCACCATCTCACCACCACTCACCACCATATCACCACCACCACCATATCACCACCACCACCTCTCATATCAATCATATATTAACTCCATGTATTTATTTCAGTTCAGCTCACCACCACCATATCACCACCACCCATCTCCACCACCACCCATCTCACCACCACCATATCACCACCACCACCATATCACCACCACCATATCACCACCACCACCATCTCACCACCACCAATCCACCACCATCTCACCACCACCACCTTACCACCACCATCTCACCACCACCATCTCACACCATATCACCACCACCACCATATCCCACCACCACCACCATATCACCACCACCATATCACCACACCACCACCATCTCACCACACACATCACATCAATCATATATTAACTCCATGTATTTATTTCAGATTCCAGCTCACCACCACCATATCACCACTACCACCATATCACCACCACCACCATCTCACCACCACCATATCACCACCACCACCATATCACCACCCCATATCACCACCACCACCATATCACCACCACCACCATCTCACCACCATATCCACCACCACCACCATATCCACCACCACCACCATATCACCACCACCCATATCACCACCACCACCATATCACCACCACCACCCATATCACCACCACACCATATCACCACCACCATATCCACCACCACCATCTCACACCACCACCATATCACCACCACCACCATATCCACCACCATATCACCACCACCACCATATCACCACCACCATCTCACCACCACCATATCACCACCACCATATCACATCACCATATCACCACCACCACCATATCACCACCACCACCATATCACCACCACCACCATATCACCACCACCACCTCCACCACCACCACCATATCACCACCACCACCACCCATATCACCACCACACCATATCACACCACCATCTCACCACCACCATATCACCACCACCACCATATCACCACCACATCATATCACCACCACCACACCATATCCACCACCACCACCATCTCACCACCACCATATCACCACCACCACCCATATCCCACACCCCACCATCAACCCCACCACCATATCACCACACACCATATCACCACCACCACCATATCACCCCATTCCCACCACCATCTCACCCCACCCCCATCCCACCACCATATCACCACCACCATATCCCACCACCACCATCCCCACCACCACCATACATCACCACCATCTCACCACCACCATCACCACCACCACCATATCACCACCACCATTTCCCACCACCCATATCCCCACCACCATCCCCACCACACTACCACCACCACCATATCACACCACCATCCTCCACCACCACCATCTCACCACCACACCACCATATCACCACCACCATCCTCCACCACCACCCATCACCACCACCATATCACCACCACCACCACATCACACCACCACCACCATATCACCACCACCACCTATCACCACCACCACCATATCACCACCACCACCACCATATCACCACCACCATCTCACCACCACCCATCACCACCACCATTTCACAACACCACCATATCACCACCACCACATATCACCACCACCACCATATCACCACCACCACCATATCACCACCATCCCCACCACCACCATCTCACCACACCAGCTCACCACCACCACCAACACCACCATCCCACCACCACCACCATCCACCACCCACCATCCACCCACCACCATCTCACCACCCACCATATCACCACCACCACCATCTCACCACCACCATATCACCTCCTCACCACCACCATATCACCACCACCACCATATTACCACCACCACCATATCACCACCACCACCATATCACCACCACCATCTCATCACCACCACCATCTCACCACCACCACCATATCACCACCACCACCATATCACCACCACACCCATATCACCACCACCATTTCACCACACCATATCACCACCACCACCATATCACCACCATATCACCACCACCACCATATCAACACACCATATCACCCACCATCACCCATCACCACCACCACCATATCACCACCACCACCATATCACCACCACCACCATATCACCACCACCATATCACCACCACCATCCACCACCACCACCATATCACCACCACCACCATATATCACCACCACCACCATATCACCACCACCATATCACCACCACCACCATATCACCACCACCACCATATCACCACCACCACCATATATCACCACCATCACCATATCACCACCACCATTTCACCACCACCATCTCACCACCACCACCACACCATATCACCACCACCACCATATATCACCACCACCATCTCACCACCACCATATCACCACCACCACCATCTCACCACCACCATCTCACCACCACCATATCACCACCACCACCATATCACCACCACCACCATTTCACCACCCCACCATTTCACCCACCACCATATCACACCACCACCATTTCACCACCACCATATCACCACCACCACCATATCACCACCACCACCATATCACCACCACCATATCACCACCACCACCTCACCACCACCACCATCTCACCACCACACCACCATCTCACCACCACCACCATATCACCACCACCATATCAACCACCACCACCATATCACCACCACCACCATATCACCACCACCACCATACACCACCACCACCATATCACCACCACCACCATATCACCACTACCACCATATCACCACCACCATCTCACCACCACCATCTCACCACCACCACCATATCACCACCCACCACCACCACCATCACCACCACCATATCACCACCACCACCATATCACCACCACCACCATATCACCACCACCACCATATCACCACCACCACCATATCCCACCAACACTCAACCTTTCACACCACCATATCACCACCACCACCATCTCACCACCACCACCATATCACCACCACCACCATATCACCACCACCATCTCACCACCACCATATCACCACCACCACCATCTCACCACCACCATCTCACCACCACCATATCACCACCACCACCATATCACCACCACCACCATATCACCACCACCACCATTTCACCACCACCATATCACCACCACCACCATTTCACCACCACCATATCACCACCACCACCATAACACCACCACCACCAATATCACCACCACCATATCACCACCACCACCTCACCACCACACCATCCACCACCACCTCACTATGTCAATCAATATTAACCCAACACTCACCACCACCATATCACCACCACCACCATCTCACCACCATCATCATCACCACCATCACCCACCATCACCACCATCATCCACCACCAATAACACCACCATATCACCACCACCAATCACCACCACCACCTCACCTCACCCCACCACCCACCACCACCACCATATCACCACCACCACACCAAACAAATCAACCACCATATCACCACCACCACCATATCACCCCACCACCCATATCACCACCACCACCATCACCACCACCACCATATCACCACCACCACCACCATATCACCACCACCACCATATCACCACCACCACTTCATCACCACCACCACCATATCACCACCACCACCATATCACCACCACCATTTCACCACCACCACACCACCATCCACCCACCCACCACCACCTCAACCAAATCAACCATATCAAATTTCAACCACCAATTCACATCACCACCACCAACCACATCAACCAATCAATCAATCAATTCACCACCACCACCATCACCACCACCAATTCATATCACCACCACCACCATCACCACCACCACCATATCACCACCCACCATCCTCAATCTCACCACCATTACCAACCAACCATCCACCACCAGCCCAACCACCACCACCATCCCAACCAACCAACCACCATCCACCACCACCATCCCAACCAACCAACCATCCTCAACCACCACCACCACCATCTCACCACCACCATCACCACCACCACCTCACCACCATCATCACCTCATCACCATCACCACTACCTCCTTCTTGATCACCTTTTGTAGTTAATCATTTTTAATTACAGAAATTTGGTGACCTAAATGAAGCTAAGTACCCAATGAACATAGTTACTGGAATAACATCATTCATCAAAATACAACCAGCAAAGCCATCACGTGAGGAGAAGCGACAAACAGGACTGCAAAAGAAGAGGGATCGAGAGGATGAGACGATAAAAGAAGAAAGAAGAATTATTAAAATTGAAAGCAGAGGAGCTGAAAAGGTTGGTCAGGAGATAAATTTATAGAAATATTTAAGTCAGAGCTGTTCTTAGGATTCATAATTCAAGTTTTATCCAAGTCTTAAATGGATTGTTGCATGAATGATGGGACAACATGGTGTTGGGTGGTTTAATGATATCCTGTATGAATTGTCATTAATTTTATTCTATTATAATTTTATAACAGACGCAACGAGGAAAGGATGAGGCGGGTACAGGAAGCTCGTGAAGAAAGAGAGCGTAAGGCTATAGAAGCAAAGGAATAACAAGACAGAGATAGAAAGAACAGAGAGGAGCGACTAAGAGAACAGTTGCACAGAAAGCAGCAACTTCTTGCTAAGAAACGTGCAGAAGAGGCTAGAGTTAAGAAGATTAAAGAACAGGTAGGTTTAAGCAGTAACCTTAGAAATTAAATTATTAACAGCTGTGTTGAGTTTAAAACTCTTATATATTGATACAGTTGTAATGGTCATGATAAGAGCTAACCTGAAAACCTTAAGGATTCATATTACGCTCAAACGTCCACAAAACCTTCTGAGTCCCCCAGTGGAAACGTCCCCCGTTTTCTCTGTTTCCCCCGTCTTTGTCTATGGGAGCTTGGAATATAATCCGCGGATTTAGTAGCAGACGCTGTATGCTGGGACCTGTTGCCATCCAACCCTTTGTAATCAATTTAATTTTGCTTTTGATAGCTGAGTCAGAGCATTGTTAGTGAAGATAATAGTAGAGAATGAAAATGAGTTCATAGTCTCAATTTCAACGTCAGAGTGTACCGTAAATTAATTCATCGGAATAGGAGTAGGTGGACTCCCTGGCCTAGTTTGAGTGAGGGCGCCGCGGGCATTTCTACCGTTAGTGAGTGCCCGTCCCTTCATCCATACAGGTATGCCATTCCACGCTGTGTTGTAATTTGCCCTTCTTTAAGTGATTTGACCCAATTAATAGTTGATTGTGCAAGTGTTACAGTAACGTAGTTGATATGCTCTGAGTAAAGTCATATTTACGTCTTTAACGTCCCCTGAAACGTGATGTTGTTGTCACCGGTTAGTGAGTGCCCGTCCCTTCATCCATACAGGTCCCTAACGCAGCCTAGGCCGTGTCTGTAGGGTGGATGTTGTGCCCACAATGTCTGGGGAGATGTCCGAGGTCCAGTAGGATCTGTTACCTTCGTGAGACCCGGCCGTCAGACACTTCAGACCACCTAGAGCCCCCATAGCTGGCTCGTCTGGCCCTAACGCTCGGCCGGCCCTAACGCTCGGCCGGCGAGGTGACCCCGGTTCACCAAGCCACACACCACTACCAGCCCCCATCATTGGTGGATGAGTGTCTAACTCAGTAGGGCTATTTGTGTGGTGGAATTAATCCACTGGGATCTCCAGAGTTCGTCGGATAGTACTCCATGGTGGCTGGACCCCATGGCTGTTGCTTGAGTATCACCCCTGACGACTGAGTGTTGTAGTGGCAGTTGCCCTGGTCTTTATGGTGCTAAGTGACTATAATAGTTGTGTTATTGAGTATGTCCACCCAGTAGGGTTGGAAGTGTTATTATGTCCACCCAGTAATGGTGTGAGTATGTTGAGCCTGAGGGCCTAGTACTAGATTTCGTCTGTTGGTACAAACAAATTCTTCCTCCTAATTTCATATTCATGTTTAAATAAACTTTGTATTTGTATAACTGTGTCTATTATTTACCTACAGTGTTTCCCGTTATTTCTTCCCTATTGCTTGATACTATCATTACATCTACCCACGAGCCTCCTATCGTCACGCTACCAATGGTGATAAGTATAAGAGTAAAAGGAATTGTTACTGGCACACAGAGGCCCTCATAAATGGTGGCAGCTCAAGCCCTCATAAATTGTGGCAGTTCAGCGGCATTAGGTACTCCTGAATGTGCTGCTTAAGGATCTGTTAACCAAAATTTGATATCTTGATTATAACTTGTTCAAATGGCTTTTAGAAAATGTTCAAATGATTTTTAGAATATTTTAATTACTTTTGCAATGCTAATTACTCGCCACTTATGGGTTTTCGAGGTCATTTCTTGGTGCTTGTGTATTATTCTGGATGCACTTAAATAGTTAGGCACATTAAATTTTAGCTCAGAGAGAAAAAGTATTTTTGGCCAAAAATCCTTTAAGGCTTTAGACTTACAATTTTTGTCATTTCGGCCAAAAAATGGATTTTGTTCAAAATTTCAGTATAGGTACTCCTGAATGTGCTGCTTAAGGATCTGTTAACCAAAATTTGATATCTTGATTATAACTTGTTCAAATGGCTTTTAGAAAATGTTCAAATGATTTTTAGAATATTTTAATTACTTTTGCAATGCTAATTACTCGCCACTTATGGGTTTCGAGGTCATTTCTTGGTGCTTGTGTATTATTCTGGATGTACTTAAATAGTTAGGCACATTAAATTTTAGTTCAGAGAGAAAACGTATTTTTGGCCAAAAATCCTTTAAGGCTTTAAGACTTACAATTTTTGTCATTTCGGCCAAAAAATGGATTTTGTTCAAAATTTCAGTATAGGTACTCCTGAATGTGCTGCTTAAGGATCTGTTAACCAAAATTTGATATCTTGATTATAACTTGTTCAAATGGCTTTTAGAAAATGTTCAAATGATTTTTAGAATATTTTAATTACTTTTGCAATGCTAATTACTCGCCACTTATGGGTTTTCGAGGTCATTTCTTGGTGCTTGTGTATTATTCTGGATGTACTTAAATAGTTAGGCACATTAAATTTTAGTTCAGAGAGAAAACGTATTTTTGGCCAAAAATCCTTTAAGGCTTTAGACTTACAATTTTTGTCATTTTCGGCCAAAAAATGGATTTTGTTCAAAATTTCAGTATAGGTACCAGGGCTGTGGAGTCGAAGACAAAACCTTCGACTCCGACTCCTCAAATTTTTATGCTTCCGACTCCGACTCCTTGGCCTATTTGTAACAACTATTTCTACCATCCTAATTGTAATTTGTATGTTGTAACCTGCATAGGTAAAAAGTAAAACACCGTGGCTATACTGCTACAGCTTTATTAATGATCTGGACGATATTTAAGAACTACAAAAAGATGATAGGCTTGACTTTCAAAGTTTCAATCAAAAGAAAAATAAATTTATTAAGAATTCAAGATATTAACTAGAAAACACCATTTACATGTATATCTAAAAGTTCGATCTCAGCATATGAATTTTGTTTAAGCTCATAATCTGATGTGGATCTAAATGATGATCCTACAATTCCTTTTAAAGTAAAGTTATATATTTATGTACATTAAAGAAATGAATACCTTATTAAGGAAAATGGATAAACCTTACATGATTAAGTTATTAAATTAAATTTGCCTTAATCTCACCAAAAACAGGTTGTAGCTGAGAGCCTCTGTGCAGTTTTCAACGAAACAAAATTTGATATAATTCAAAATTTCAAATGGTAAAGAAGAGACTATCGTCCAAAATTATAGTGCTATACTGTGCCTGCTACAATAAATTCATAATAATGCTTATAAAATGGAAATAAATTCTTTTAATAATTTAAGAAAATTAGTGGGATCAGTGGAATCACTGCAATGAATATGCCTGAGTTCATATATTTGTTCTTAGGAACAGAATAGCTTCAGTCGGAGTCGGAGTCGGAGTCTGGACAATTTTACCGACTCCGACTCCGACTCCACAAGCCGAAATTTCCTCCGACTCCTCGACTCCGACTCCGACTCCACAGCCCTGACCACTACTACTACTAGTTCAGCCCCTCATAAATGGTGGCAGTAGCAGCCCTCATACAGTAAACCCTCGATAAGTCGGCACATTTGGGCTCTGGCCTTGCCGAGTTATCCCAAATTCCGACTTATCGAGGCACTTTCCCCCTTCATACAAAAATTCAACAATAAAAAATTATCGACCCATATGTGTGTGTGTACAGGTAATTACTAAATGTCCAAAAGGGTAACACTTACCTGCACTGCAGGCGAAGAATGAAGCATCATTGTAGGTGACACATGTGTATGGTAGGTGACACAGGTGCATGGTAGGTGACACAGAGGTATGGTAGGTGACACAGGTATGGTAGGTGACAGATGCATGGTAGGTGACACATGCATGGTAGGTGACACAGAGGTATGGAAGGTGACACAGAGATATGGTAGGTGACACAGGTATGGTAGGTGACACAGATGCATGGTAGGTGACACAGATGCATGGTAGGTGACACAGAGGTATGGTAGGCGACACACAGGCTTGGTAGGTGACACAGAGGTATGGTAGGCGACAGGTATGGTAGGTGACACACAGGCATGGTAGGTGACACTGGCATGGTAGGTGACACAGGGGTATGGTAGGTGACACAGAGGTATGGTAGGTGACACAGAGGCATGGTAGGTGATACCGGTGACTAGATATGCCGAGATTTTTGCTGTTGACAACACAATATACATAATGTACATTATGTCGTTTCTCACTCTTGATTTATTTATTTATTTTTATTTATTTTTTTTTTACTATTTATGGTTATTTTTTATTATTATTACTATTATTTTGTTTATTAATTTTTTTATTAATTTTAATTATTATTATTATTACCCCCTGTATTATTATTATTATTATTATTATTATTATTATTATTATTATATCTTCGCCCCCTAGGCCCTGGTGTAGGTCAGTGACCTGTGCCCGGGTGGGCTAATCCCTGTAAAAAAGAAAACATTCCGAGAACATATCCATGCTGAGTTGTATAAAATTCCGAGTTATCGAGGGTTTACGGTATCTTAAAAGACAGGTTACATACGCATCAGCTTTCTGTGTATTTTTTCTTTAAAATGATTGTGACTCCATTTCTAATTTATCAAACCAGGAAGAAGCATGAAGGAAACAGGAAGAGGAGTCAAGGAAATTAAAGGAAGAAGAAAAGCAAAATGAGGAGGAAAACTATTATATCTGACAGAGCAACGCCGTCGTCACGAGGAAGAAAGGAAACTGTAAGTGTGTAGTGGATTCCTCCCCTACAAATGCTGTTTGTTGCTGCCTAACCGACCCCACGACTTCACCAGCCTGCCCTCGTGGTCTAGGTCAGCAACCAGCGCCGCCTTACATGACGGAGGTCAACTATTAAGCCACGCCTACCTCTGCTATATAAAACCTCACCTCGTGGTGACCTCTTTCTTACTACCCACAGCCACCAGCAAGCAACACCTCCTCCTCCTCTGCTCCTGCCTGGAGGCCGTCGCTCCCGCCGGCGAGCATGGCGACCCACAAGCTGTCCTCCTCTGAGCACCCTCA